ACCAATTTTTGATTTTCTTTGCTCTTTTTTCTACCATTTTTGTTGTTATTACTAGTTCTTTCATTTCAACTTCTGTTTTATTTGCATCCACCTCTTTTAACCAAGCCGCATCCTTGTTGTATTTCTTTGGGTTATCCCATATCTGCTTCCAGAACTGCACTGTTTCTTCCTTGTCAGGTACTGACTGATTCCTTGCAGTTTCTCCATTGATGGATTGGTAGAAACGTTTCTGATTGGATTGAAATTGGAGGTTCTGCCTATAGTTTGCAATTCGAGCTTCATATCTACTGATTTTCCTGGCTATAGCTGTTATTTGTTGCTTTATTATTTCCAGTGCTTCCTTGATCTTCCTTGTTTCTAAGTGGTATTTCTTGATTAGGTATTCTTTGGTCTTCTTGTTCTTCAGCTTCTTTTCTTTCATCTGTTCTAGCTTGCTTGCATGTGATCTTAACTTGCTGATCTTATTTTCTAGTCTAACCTTCCATTTTTTGTGGTGCACTGTTTGTTTGTTTTTCTTTTTTGTTGATTTTACATCCCAGGTATTCTGTTATAACTGCAGCTGTGCTGTACATTAATTGGTTTGTTTCTTGCAGTGAATTGGTGCTTATACTTGCTATTGCAGTATTTGCATCTTTTAATGCTTGTGCTAGCTGTTTCTTTGGAACAAGCTTCAATGCAGGCAGCCTTATTCTGTTGTTTTTGTGCTGTTCTAGATGCTCAGTTATTCTTTGTTTCAATTCTTTTATTTCTTTAGTTAGAGGGTTTTGTTCTTCCTGAGGAAGAGGTGCCTGGTTTCCAAATGAGAACAGTTGTATATCTCTACTGGATTCTTTCACTGCCAACTCCCCCTGGTTTGCCTCTACATTCTGAATTACTTCTTGTAAGGCTTTGATTTCTTTGCCCTGGGTAAACCTTTGCAGTTCGTCCAATTCTGTTTCTGTGAATACTTTATTTCGTGTTATAAATCGGCGTTGATCTGCTAGTCTCTGTTCTGTTATTTCTGATTCTGGATGTTGTTCTTTCCAGAACTGGTGCATTCGTTTTAGATATCCTCGTCTTGTTGGACTTGATCTGTAGTAACAGATCATTATTTCTTTGTTTTCCATCACTGTGTATCTGCGACGGGTAAACACCTTTTCTTCCAGTAGTTCTGCAGCTGCTGGCCCTGGTTGCTCAGCCAACAGTCCTGAGTCCTGTAACCCATTTTTCACCAGATATCCAGGAACTCCAATATCTAGTGCGGACCTTGTTAACCCGGGCGACGTCCGAGCCGGTATGGCATTCTGAAATTTACGTCTCACCATATTTTTTATGGGAGAGACACTCTTTGTCTGACTCCTCTGATGAGACCTGTCCAGTATGGTTGAACCTCTGGCATAGCTCTCATCTTCCTCAGAGTACACAAGCCCCACAACCACGTCAAGGTAGTGCCTCACTGGGGGGTTATTATTATTATTATTATTATTATTATTATCGATTATCGCACAGTCAGCCAGATGTTCAGACTGGATTTGGCATTTTGTCTACCTATCGAGTCCTTACCCAGGACCTGGGATAGGCAGATGTGGATGTTTGATGGTATTACAGATATCGTCGCAGGATGGAAGCAGTTCCTAATAAGGCCGCCTTTTGCAATTGACTAATAGCGAATTTGTCAATGCCAATGGTGTTCAAGTGGTGCTCCAGTTGTTTTGGGATTGCACCCAAGGAGCCTATTACTATTGGTACTACCCTTGCTTGCTTTTGCCACAGTCTTTCTATTTCTATTTGTAGGTCTTTGTATTTTGTTATCTTCTCCAGTTCTTTCTCTTCTATTCTGCTGTCTCCAGGCACTGCCACGTCCACTATCCAGACTTTTTTGTCTTTCTTATCGACAATTGTTAAGTCTGGGGTGTTATGTTGCAGGTGCTTGTCTGTTTGAATTCTGAAGTCCCAGAGCAGTTTAATTTTATCATTTTCTATGACTTTCTCTATTTTATGATCCCACCAGTTTTTGCTTACAGGCAAATGATATTTTTTGCAGATCTTCCAATGCACCATTGTTGCTACTTTGTCATGCCGCTGCTTGTAATCAGTTGTGCAATCTTCTTGCAACAGCTTACCAAGTGGTCCACTGTTTCTTCAGCTTCTTTGCATAGGCGGCACTTACTGTCTGTTGCTGTCTTCTCAATTTTGACTTTGTATGCATTTGTCCTTAAGGCTTGGTCTTGTGCAGCCAGAATTAGTCCCTCGGTCTCTTTCTTCAATTTTCCTGCTCTTAGCCATTGCCAGGTTTTATTATTATCTGCTTTCCCAGCTATTTTTTTAATGTATTGGCCATGTAGTGCTTTGTCTTCCCATGCCTCTATTCTGTTCTTCATTTGGTCTTTCTTGTAGGCCAGTTTGGTCTCTCCAGTAGTTAGTAAGCCTTCCTGATATACTAATTTCAGTGCATCTTCATCATTGTTCTTCAGATATTCTTCCAAAGCCATTTTTTCTTCTTCAACCATCTGATGTACTTGTAGCATTCCACGCCCACCTATTTGCCTTGGTAGATAAAGTCTATCAATGTCACTGCGTGGATGAAGGGCGTGATTCATTGTCATTATTTTTCTGGTCTGCCTATCCATTGCTTTTAGTTCTGCTTGAGTCCAGTCTACTATTCCAGCTGTGTACCTAATGACTGGGATTGCCCAGGTGTTGATTGCCTTTATGGTATTTCCTCCATTGAGTTTGGATTTTAAGATCTTCTTCACTCTCTTGATGTATTCACCTCTAATCTTTTTCTTGACTTCAGTGTGCTTGATGTTGTCAGCTTGAAGGATACCCAAGTATTTGTAGTACTCTTCCTCATCCAGACTCTTAATGTTATTTTCGTGGGGCATCTTGATTCCTTCAGTTTTCACTATTTTTCCTTGTTTGATAGTAAGTGTGGCACATTTGTCCAAGCCAAACTCCATTACAATATCTTGGCTATATATACGGACAGTGTTGAGCAGCGATTCTATTTCAGATGATGTTTTTCCATACAGCTTCAGATCATCCATGTAAAGGAGGTGGGATAGTCTAGCAGATGTTTTTGATGTTTGATAACCATGTCCTGAGTTATTCAGTATTGTTGACAGAGGAAACAGTGCAATAACAAATAGTAATGGTGATAATGAATCTCCTTGAAATATTCCTCTCTTGATATTAACCTCTCCCAGCTTCTCACCATTGATCTGCAACTGTGTCTTCCATTGTGCCATCGATCTTTGCACAAATTTTCTGATGTTTCTACTGACTCCTGTTATTTCTAGGCACTTGATTATCCAATCATGTGGCAGAGAGTCAAATGCCTTTTTGTAGTCAATCCATGCCACATTCAGGTTGGCCTCCTTCTCTTGCAGTTTTCCAAGATCATTTTGTCTATTAGGAGTTGATCTTTTGTTCCTCTGCTATTGGGGCGATTTCCTTTCTGCTCAGGTGGAAAGAGATTGTTTTCAACTAGATGCTGTTGTACTGCATCAGCTACCACACCAGTTAGTAATTTGAAAGTTGTTGGTAAGCAGGTAATTGGCCTCTAGTTATCTGGTGTTGCCCCTTTTGCTGGATTTTTCATTATTATTATTATTATTATTATCATCATCATCATTATTATCATTATTATAGTATCATTATCCATTGCAGTATTTTAGTCTGTAACTAGAGCTGGAGCCATGTACAGTATACGGAATAACAAAAGTGGATTTAAAAAATATTCTTTTGATAGCACTTCAGGCTTACAGAGCCAGGCCCATCTAGATTATAGAGGAATGGGGCAACATTAACTTTACAATGAAATTAAAATATCTTGCAGCTCTTCAACTGATAGTAATTGAGATATCAGAGTCATAAGACCTTGCAAATAATTAGCTACGTCTGTGCATCCATAGCGGATGGGTTTAAGCAAGCAATGGGCATAGTAAAAAGTCACCATTATCTCAATAGTTCATTTTTCTTTGACATCCATCTTCATTCTCTTTTCTTTGGCACATTCTCTTACTGTATTTTCTTTACTCAACTCAACATAATAGGTTGCCAAAAGAGGACTGGTCATTTTCACAACAATATGAATGGATTACTTTTGGTTCTCCATGTTTGCAGCAAAAGGGAATTTTGATGTATACAAAGAATGGGAGCCTAATAATGCATGGTAATAATAATAATAATGCTCACAGGGAAGTTTTCACATAGACATGGAGGTTTCCCACTGAAGATAACTGTGCAACTATGGTAAATTGGACTTCAAAATAATCAGATAAATGACATTCTAAAAGTCAGTTACAAAAGAGATTTAGCTTATCAGACACTGAACTGGAGATGTTACTCCCACATAGTCTTTTGCAAAGAGCAGTCATTTGTAAAGATAGCAGCTGAGATTATCTTCTTTGTTCTGATTAAAAACATTAATGGTTCTGTCATTGGAACCACTACTTTCCATTTGATTTTGAAAAAGCTAATTCCACTGGTAATTATTATTTCTTAGTTTCATTATAGTTAGAAAAATATGAAAAGAAAGAGAAAAGTGCAAAGGAAGAAGAAAAAAATAATGACTTCCAATTTTCTTCAGTGCAGTAGATTATGAAAATAATTCAACATCAACAGTTTGCTTTACGTTTCACAACACCTCAAGCCATTTCTATAATTACAAAATATTTCTAATCATCAAAACCTAAAATCAAATTCTCATTTTTTTCAGTTTTGAACAAAACTTTCAGAAGTGGTTTCCAAGTAGAAACAAGATTAGACTATTTTTTTCTTTAATTAAAACAGACAACTTCACGATTCCTAACTCCATCACATTTACCATCCACTCTTCGATTAAGAAAGAAAATGCTAATTCTATTTGGTCTGTTGTACTGAGGTCTCTTCCAAGATTGTGTTGTCAATTCCCAATAAGCAACAGAGGAAAAACAAATGCTTGTATTGCATAAGTACATGCTGGGTATATAGAGCAGCAATAAAAGAAATAATGACCAGCTTAAGATATATGAACTTACCTTCTGCTTTTTCTCCATATGTGTATGGTTCAGAAGTAAAATGTGGCAAAGAAAATACTAATGCTCCTAAAGCGATCAGAAAAGAGGACAAAGCCAGCCATCTTGGTTTGTGACCTCTTTCACCATAGAAGGATATAAAAAGGCATAACACGGAGAATGAAATGTCATAACCAGCAGAGATTACGCCAGTGAGGGAACTGCTCAAATCATAACGCTTCTCAATGGTAGAAATGCTCACATTTATCAATCCATTTACAATAATCCCTAGAAGAAAAAGAGAGATGTGTTAGTTTATTTATTCATGTTTTTAATCTGTCAAATTTGTAGGCCATCCAACTCCAAAACAATTCTTAGTAGCATCACAAATGAAAAAGCATAAGGAAAACAACACTGGAAAAAGAGGCATAATCACCCCAAGAGAATAAGCAAAACATACTCCTTACAATACATCATCATCAACTTAAAGTGGTCCATCAAACACCCTAAATCAAAGCTTGGAGAAAAAGCTAGGTTTTCAGAACCTGTTTGAAAATGGGCCCAATTAATCAGATTACATATGTTTTGTTTCAGACCACCCTTTTCTGACTCTTGGTTAAACAGTGATAAAAAAAATATTGTCCATTTAAGAAAGAAATACATACAATACTTTAGCCAGAATTTCCTTCAAAGAGAACTCTTAGGTTTCTTAACCTGATGGCCAAAACTAGAGACATCCAAGGAATATCTCAGACTCTACAATTTATATTTACAGTCTCCATTTTCCTTTCCTATGTCTTCCCCACTTATTTTCATCTACATTAATGGAATGGTTTTCCTTTTCCCCAGATACATAGCTCCTTGAAATATTATACATCAGTCTGAATATATCTAATTAATGCAGAAGAAATGTTGTGTTTTCAAATAATTGTGTCTAAGGTTACAGTGTTTGCTACCGGATATTCACCATCTAATTGATTCATTGATTTCTAAGTTTTTAATTCTGATTCCAGCCTATAGAATCCAAAGAAGGATAGCTTGCTATCTTTAAGAAGCACCTATTTCCATATTTAATTAGAATATTTCCATAAGTAGTTCTAGCTCTATCTTACTCAAGTCAGTATTATTTCAACTGCAATGTTTGTACAACTTTATACAAAATCATAGGCATTGGCAACCATAACCTTCAATCTCAGTTATGGTTGATTGAATCCAAATTGCCACCATGAAAGATTTAGATGGATCAGAAAACTAGGACTGCAATTGCTTAGTTTTGGTCAAATGCCAACTGTAAATATCACTTCTGAATCATAAAGCTAAAGTTTATGTTTCAGGTCCTCCACCCATTGCTTCCTCACATATCATGTGGCAAGAGAGCTGAGGCACCATTTGACACATTGCTGAACAAGTTTCTTGTTGGAATAAAAACCTCATTTATGAATTGAAGCATATTAGGGAACCATTGAACTTTGTGGGAGTCCACAGCTGAATTTAATTTGTCCCTTTGATTTCTATCTAATCACACACGGATCCTATATGCATAAGCCATCCACCCATGTAATCTGTACACTGTACACAGTGGTGGGAGTCAGCCAATTCGCAGAACTGGTAGCTAATTTGGCAGAACCGGTAGCTAATTTTTTATTGCCCAGGGCCAGAATGGACTTCCAGAAGCGGCATCCACACAGAGAAATGGTTGTTCACATATTTGAATCCAACCACTGACTGTACAGATTGTTTAATTGACCCCCATGTTCATCAGAATCAATGTAGATAAGTCATTGGGCACATTTTAACAAACTATGGCAAGTTGACATAGGGTATAAAAATTCCCCTTGCTGTAGTGACATTTTCTCTTCATGTCAAGGAAACAAAAACTTTTGCACAGGAGTTAAGAGACTAGAAAAACAAGGAGACCAATAAGAGTTTCTGTTTTATTACCTCTAGGGCATGGGTTCTCAACCTTTCTAATGCCGCGACCCCATAATATAGTTCCCCATGTTGTGGTGACCCCCAACCACTTATACATCACTGGGTGCCAGGGGCATGGCCAAAGAAAAGAGGAAAAAATGGCGGACAGTCTTGTTTGGCAACCCCCGTGAAATAGTTGTTTGACCCCAAATGGGATCCCGACCCACAGGTTGAGAACCACTGCTCTAGGGGTTCTTTGGATCAAAGAAAATCTATCACCTTTGTTTGTTCCAATCAGATGTTATCATCAAAATAGCTGCTTTTAAACAGTTGGGAAATTTATAAAAAAACTTTTTTTTCAAAATCTTATACCTAACCCTTTCCTGGCTATGAATCCGTAGTCTTAAAAAAAACTAAAATTCAGAATGATGGAACATACATGCTATGTTGCAAAACAATTAGATGCCGAGTTTTATTATTTCACTGAAATGAAATGTTTGACCATTGTAAGCTCCCTAGATAATCTGGCTATGAAGCAGTTTGTGACATTTTTTTAAAGTGTGATACAAAACTGAGTAAAGCAGCACTCAGATCTGAAACTCTTTTTATGAAACACACCTCTCAGTCTACCCCATGACACAGGAATGCTTGGTATCAGAAGCCATTACCCAAAGACAAGAAACATATCCTTATTGCCAGAGAAATAAGATGGGAGACGCCTGATGAAGAAGATGATCAAGCATTCAACCTCACTTTACATGTAGATAAAGGAATCAAGGGAGACTTCAGGGGCCTCCACTCCATCCCAACACAAAGTTAATTATTTTCTGGTTTCTCTTCCAAAAGACAATGTTCCACTTGTAAGGTGATTGCCACACATCACCAACCTATTCTAGTTTCATCACATCTGCATATGAAAACCAGAGAAAACCAGTGAACACATCTCTCCAGTGTGATTTTATCTTTTGTTCTAATATACAAGGGCTTGTAAAATAATCATGTAATATAATATAGCCAAGATCACTTTACATTGTGAACTGGTCAAGGTCAAGGGATGTAGAAGTACTACAGAGGTTTGGGGTGCTTTTTTGAGTATGGAAAGCTTTCTGTTACTCATATTTCTGAATAAGAAACAATTGTATACTTCACATTAGCACCACAGCTTAAATCCACTTGCATTGAATAAGCACTTGGTAATTATGAAACAAAGTTCTATTAAACAGGATTGTAACATCCATCATGTTTCTTTTTCTATAAAATTGCAGAACTGGGACAATGAGGCCACCAATCTCTGCTTCGGTATAAGAAATGCTTTAATTTTTCTTATACTTAAGTAGAGATTGGTGGCCTTATGGCATTCTGTTGAAGACAAATGTTTTACAATAGTTCCAGTCCTTGGGTTATGTCCAGAGAGTAGGGTAGAAAGGCGACTTGTCAGGTTCTTTAACAATTGTCTCAAACTGACAGTAATTATTTGCAATTATTTCTTGTTAATGCATAAACAAAATTATTTTCAATTTTTTTTTATCAAAATGCATTGAGAGAAAAGTGATGGGGTTATAAAAATGGAGCAACTGGATTTTTCCATTTAGGACCAATTTATCTCTTATTACATAAAGGAAGAGACTTGTTTTTGTTTTTTCTAAAGATAATCTGGGAGTTTCTTTTCTCTCTCTCATCATTACTAGAAAAACCTGCAGCTGGCTATTTACCTAACAGTCTCCTAAAGATGTATTAATCTGATCTGGTGGTTAAGGCACCAGGATAGAAACCAGGAGACTGTGAGTTCTAGTCCCACCTTAGGCATGAAATTCAATTAGTAACCTTGAGCCACTCTCTCTCTCTCACCTCAACCCACTTCACAGGGTCGTTGTTGTGGAGAAACTAGGAGGAGATATTAGGTATGTTTATTATGCATATTAATTAATTAATTAATATTATGTATATTAGGTATATATTATTAGGTATGTTTTCTGTCTAGAATTATTTATAAAAATAATAAAGGCAGGATAAAAATAAATAAACTCGCCATTATACTACCCTTGGAGACTTAGGCCATTGATTTATGGTGTCCCACAAGATTTCCTGGAGATGTTCAATATTTATATGAAATTGCAGCTAAGAGATAATACCAAGTTCTGGAGTGCCCTGTCATTACAATGCTTTATTGTTTCTTGCCTTCCAACTGCAAGGGAATGATCAGTACAGGTAGTCCTCATCTTACAACAGTTCATTTAGTGACCATTCAAAGTTACAATGGCATTGAAAAAAGTGATGACCATTTTTCACACGAACATTGCGGCAATGGGGAAGCCACAGAAAGGTCGTAAAATGGGGCAAAACTCAAGTGTTTCACGTAGCAACATAAATGTTGGGCTCAATTGTGGTCATAACTCAAGGGCTACCTGTACTACTCTTAATGCTGTTGCTTTACAGAGTGGGTTGGATTAGGAAGAACACGCTGAAGTTAAATCCAGTCAGGGCTGCCTCACAAAAAGTTGGATTTAGAGATTAAGGTTCAGAGGTTTTAGATCAGGGGTCTTCAAACTTGGCCCTTTTATGACTTGTGGACTTCAGCTCCCAGAATTCCTCAGCCAGCTTGCTTGGCTGAGGAATTCTGGGAGTTGAAGTCCACAAGTCATAAAAGGGCCAAGTTTGAAGACCCCTGTTTTAGATGGAATTGCACTTCCTGGAGAAAATGAAACCTGAAGCCTGGGACCCTCGTTGACTTTCACCTGCCACTGGATTCTCAGATGGCAGTGGTGAGTAGTGGTAGTGGTAGTGAGTACCTGGACTATTACAATTGGTGGAGCAAGCTGCAGCTGTCCAAATTCATTCAATAGTCATCTGTGACTTTTCATGTATATCCATGCTACTTAGTTTACTGCTGTGGGTTCTACACCAAGTTAACCTTGAAAAGTATCCCTAAGTTACAAAGGAATGGCAAATAAGTTGCCAAAAGTCCAAAGTGCCAAACTGCAAAGTGCAAGGAATGCACGACCCTTGTGCTGAATGACCTGTATTGATTAACCAATTGTTTAACAGACACAATTTAACGTTTGGGCTAATCCTTAAATCTATAAGTGGCTTAGGACCAAAGAAACTCTTCTTCCCTTTCAGACATGTCAGGTTGATGGTCTCCCTGCCCCCCAGTCAGAGGCTGGTTATGTGACACACAGGATGAGGGCCTTTTCTTGCTCCCCCCTCCCCATGCAAGAAGTTTGCCTTGTGTGAGGAACGCCTGTAAAGATGAACCTCTTCCCAGGACTTTAATTCCTGGTAAATTTTAGCCTTGGATTTCATTTTCTTCTAACCTTTATATTTCTATTACTGCTAATTGCTTTGACAGCCGCGCCGAAATCATCGTCACAGATGGGAAGGCATCAAGTTAGGGAACTATCTACCCGCAGCAGAAATGATCGCTAAAGCCTGTGGCATTCGCTCAGGGGCGCAGCGTCCCGGAAGTGGGTTTCCTCCGTTCTTCATCCTCCCTTTCGATGGGACAGGGAACTGGAGATGAGAGGGAGGGAGGGAGGGAGGGAGGGCGAGCGGAACGCTAAAGTCTCCAAAGTAACTCAATAGTCCACATGAAAAGTCCCGCTTACCTTGGAAGACGGAGAGGAGGCTGTAGAAGACCAAATAGCCTTTGACGTTGTTGCAGACCTGCAGGGCGCGAGGGGTGCACCGGCCGATCCCGCAGAGTTGGTCGTCCGGATCAAAACTCTGCGACTGCAAGATACTCGGGGAGACCGAGGGGAGTTGCGGGTCGAGAAGATCCGGGTTGGAGGTCTGGAAAGCCGGGTTGTCCAAGCCAGCCTTTTTCATGGCGAGAGGGGCCGGGAGATGCTCAGCCGCCAAGCCCGCCGCAGCGTCCGAAGCACCTGTGTCCAAGCGCCTGCCCGCCTACATAGGCAGAGAAAGGAGAGGCGATTCAAGGCGGGACCTCGCTGTCGAGAACCGGCAAAGTGAAAATTAGGAAGAAGAAGAAGAAGAAGAAAAAACAAGGGCAATGAAGAAAGCCAGCCCTCTTGAGAGAGGATGAAGGTGGAACCCTCGGCGTGGGACGAACAGTTTTGTGACTTGAGGTTTCTCCTTACTGGAATGACCAGTTTGCTCGTATGCCCAAGGAGACGCGCCACCTTTGCTCCCATCAGTGTGTGAAATCAGCCCAGCGGGGAGAAAGGCGAGCTGCGAGCGGGACAGCCGCCAGGAAGACCAAGCCCAACCTCTCCCCACGCTCCCCTTTGCTTCCCCGCTCACCTTTCAATAGCAGCCACCGGAGAGGAAAGAATAAGCGCATGAATTCGTAAAGAAGAGTGAGCCGGTAGATGTCACCAGTGTCCGTATTAAATCTGGAGTTGCCTTCTTGTTTCTCCTCCGGACTCTGAGCTAAGCTGAGCTGAGTTGGCTTCTTAATATTTGCAGTTTCGGAGTTTGGGCGATTCCGCTCCCATGCCCGCTCGCCACGCTTTCCTGAGTATCAAGACATTCCAGTTTATGGTCTTAATAAATGGCGATTCCAGATCATTGTTACAGCTCATGGCAAAAACATTGGGTCAACTTAGCCAGTCACGTTAATTGCAGAACATCCAACCCATCTGGAATGTTGAAGACAGTCTGCTTTGTGACAGTTAAAAATGACAGTTGTCAATGACACCACTGAAGGCATGACATCACTCTGCCAAAAGTACACATTCTTTCTGAACTGGACCTGTAGACATTAACACTAGGTGTCCCCAAGTTTAGAAAAAAGTGAATATTTTATACTTCAGACATATTTGGGGATTTCACAGGAGTTCATTAAAGCCAGTGGCAGGATGAATAAATGACTAATTGAAAGGATTAAGAATGATAGGTGAGTTTTCCTTTTCAGTTTAAAGTATTGATAAGATTTGAACTTAAACTTAAATCTTTCCAATCCCACCAAGAATGGCAAAGTAACATTCCTGTCTGGTGTAAGTATGATTTTCTATTGTGATTAACAAGAATTTGTCAATACTTTATTCAAGAGGGGGGTATTATGTCTCCCTGTCACCCACTGATGAAAGATGATAAAAGTGAGTATGTTTGACCTTTATGTAAAAAAAAAAAACCTACTACTTTGCCTTTTTAAACTCAAGTCAGACACATCTGGCTACAACTCTCCGTGGGCTGATGGGAGCACTTGCTTCTTTTATTTTCAAGATGATAGTAGTTCTCCTGTTATAATGAAGCCAGCGGAGTTGTAATTACCCCCCCCCCCTTCATGAGTTAGTTAGGAGATCAACATCTACTTTTTTTATCCAGGCCCTTTTATTCTTTCAGGAGTTTTGTTTTAACTGCTTTAATATTTTTAATTGCTTTAAAAGGTACTGTGATATTGTTTTTATAGTGTTTGAAAGCTTGCTTTCTTTGTATTCTTGGATGCAATCCTGAGCCATTATTAGAGTGGGCAGCTTACTAAAACTCCAAGAAAACAAATAAACAAAAACAGTTTTTGGAGGTACTAGCAAAGTAGGACTATTATCTTTTTTCTATACCCAAAGCACGGGAATTGAATATCTCTTCAGGGTACACTAAGAGGTGTAGGAGCAAATGAGTTTCCCCCAACTAATCACTGGGAGCAAGAAGTATTCTGTAGAGCAATGTTTTTCAGTCTTGACATCTTTAAGATACCAGTATCTGGACTTGAACTCCTAGAATTCTGGGGATTAAAGTCCATACATCTTAAAATTATCAAAGTTGAAAAACATTGCTTTAGAGAGAAAGAACATGACAATTATAGGTTCCCCACAACAGCAAAAGCAGTATGACATTTCCTCAACAACCCACAATCACTACATAATAATCCATTGCTACATATTATGCTACATATGTTATGCAATGGAAACTAACTCAGATGACCAAAATAAGAATAATGGTGTTCATGATTCCTTTTAGTGCACAAATTTAAAACAGTGAACAGCAGGAAAAAAAAAATCTCTCTTTGGACTTTGATTAATTGAAACCATGTTTATCAGACTTTTTAGGCAATTTGAAATATTTAAAAAATAAAATTCTTTTTTTAAAAAAATAAAAGTAGAGCAACAACATAGTACAATTAATGTAAGTACATATGTAAACATTGTGCAAATGAACAAATGAAGCATCAATTCATTTAATAGTTTATTAGGAATATCCAAAACTTCACTGCCTGTTTATAAAACATTCATGAAGTGAAGAACAAAATAGGCAACATGCATGTATTGCAACACAAATTCTGCCCCAGATATACCTGTATCTGCAACTCATGTATCCAAGAGTGAAGTTTACATCCTGATTTTACAATGCATATTTCATCATTCTGACATTACAGTCGCTAGCAAAGAAGACACCATCCACAGATAGCTGGATATTTTACAAGGACTGCTGCTACCGTAGAAAAGACCCTATCTCATATGTAATTATCCTGGTAAATTTTCCTAATAGATTCAAGTGTAGGAATTCCAATCTTAGTGTCCAGTTTCTACAGAGATGGAAAGTACCAAATTATTTAGTTGTTACACCCTGTCACCAATGAGATAATAACCTCACTTTGGTCCATCTATGTTCCAGATGTCTTGGCAGATTTTAATACCCTAAAAGAGTATAAATCCACCACAGGAAAAGTACCATGAGATGATTAGGTGGAACACTAGTGATACACAAGTCTGTTTTTGTCAAGATGATGATATTTATTATAAAATGAAGTCAGGATATTTTGCAGGATGAGGAAAGAGAACATCATCTTGTTGATTTTCTGATCCAACATGGAACAGGCATCTCACCATTAAAAATGTCTCAGAGCTGATGTAGAGGTGCAAAGTTGACCAACTGTTACTTTGGATTATCTATGTTTCTTCTTTTTCTCAAATCTTTTTTAATCTATTAATACACAGGAGAAACATGCTCCTGTCTGTAAAAAAAAAAAAAATCTCTTGCATGAGTAACCTAAGAATGAAAATAAATATTTCATGTTCTTCCTGTTTTTTTTTTAATCTATGTACTTTGATTTGCTGTACAGTCTATGCCCACAGACAAAGTTCAACTGTACAGGGACTTTGGTCTACCATATCATTTCCTTATTTGCTCAAGAAGTGACTGAAATTTAATATAACTTCATTAGAGATGATATTACATCTCTAAATGACATTGTATACAATTACTATCTGAAGCCTACAGAAAGCAAATCTATTTGGCAAAGAGTATACTATTTTCCATTGTACTGTATATTGGAAATAAAAATATATTGATTATCCTGGCCTAGAAGCATAAGAACCAGGAAATGCATGCCAGCTAATGTTGAATGGGAAAGGTGTGTTATTTGTTTATATCTATGAGCTATTCCAGTAATGTAAATATAGCCAAAATTGGGGAGAGAGTTGCCTTGGATTGTATAGACAGAGGAATATGTGCCTGGGCAAACATCTTTTAAATATTAACCGCCCCATCCCATCAGGAAGTCTAATATGAGCAAGATGGCCCATTGGTAAAGTGGTATGGCAACTATACTGATGGAGCAAACCAGAAGGGAAAAAAATCAATACAAGAAGTAAAAGAAGTTAACTGAAAATCAGGAAACACCTCAAACACACACACACACACACACACACACACACACACATTTTCTAGTTTCTTAGATTGTGAATATGTGACAGTAGTAAATGTCTATGGAGATTCTCAATCATCCAAATCATGAGTGTCCCAAAGGTGCTGTTCAAAATGCAACTGGACTTTTTTGTGGTTTTTTTTCTTGAAAATATTTCACTTCTCATCTAAGAAGCTTCTTCAGTTCTGAAGAACTGAACTGAAGAAGCTTCTTGGGTGAGAAGTGAAATATTTTCAAGGAAAAAAAATAAAGTCCAGTTGTCTTTTGAACAGCACCTTTTTGATAGTACTAGTAACTGCATTTGTACAATACTTTTTACAATTGCATGTTACAGATAAATAGAAACTCATTAAGAATAAATTCTAGTGTCAACACAGAAATGCTATTATTTGTTTACAAGAGACTCATATTATTTCTAAAGATCAAAAATATTTGTTTAATCCCCAGTTGGGGATACATTTTATAGCTCTTGCTTTGCAGAAAAAAGGAGGAGGAGTTATCTATGTGAGAAAGGAGCTTTCACTGAAGTTAATTGATTTTGACTTACAAGGAAGATATGTTATTATTGATTTACTAATAAATGATAAGAGAACCCTTCTTGTTGGTTTATATGCTCCCAATCAACAACAAAAACATTTTTATAAGTTGATTCATCAGAAATTAACTTCTTTGGATTATAAGTCAGTTATTATGATGGGAGATTGGAATGGTGTTTTAGACTCAAGTAAAGATAAGTAGGGTCCCTTTAAAGTTTCTAACCATGCAAGACTTCCTAAAGTTTTTTTTTTTACTTAAAGGATGATTTGGAACTTAGAGATATTTGGAGGGAATGGAATACTGAGGAAAAAGACTTTACCTTTTTTCGGATAGACACCAATCTTATTCTAGAATTGATTTTTTCTTGGTTACTAGTGATTTCCTTTCTAGGGTGAAGAATATCAAGATATTTCCTAAAATAATTTCAGACCACAGTCTGGTATGGTTGGAAATTTCATCAGAAGAAAAAACTAGAAGGTCTTGGAGGTTGAATGAGAATTTATTTAGATATGAAGAGAAGATACAGCAATGTAAAGGTTATTTAAAGGAATTTTTTGCTTGGAATATGAATAAGGGTACTTCGATGCCAATGGTATAGGATTCTTGTAAAGCATATATGAGAAGGGTTTTGATTTCTATGAACAATGCTCACAGATGTAAACAGACCCAGAAACGTAAAGACCTTGAAGATGAGATTAAATGTAAGGAAAAGATTTTAATATCAAATCCAATGGACAATAAGTTAAAAGTTTCTATTACTTTGCTGAAGGAGCAATTTAATATGTTATTAGCAGATCAAATGGCAACTAATTTGAGGTATGTGAGACATAATATATTTTGTAATGCAAATAAACCTGGTAGATGGTTGGCTTATCAATTATGTAAGAAACAAAAATCGAGGATTATAGATAAAATAATTTATAAAGGTAAAGAAGTCTACCAACAAAATTTGATTAAAAAGTCTTTTTTAGATTTTTATTCTAAATTATATGCTAGTGAAAGTATACAAATTTCAGATATAGAAAAATATTTACAGGGAGCATATTTTCCTAGATTTACGAGTGATCAATGTGAGGGGATTAATGGTTTAATTATTTCTGAAGAGATTATTTTTGCAATTAAACAATTGAAGGTTGGTAAGACCCCAGGTATTGATGGGTTAACAGCGATTTATTACAAGATGTTATCTGAAGAAATGATAGAACCATTAAAGGTACTTTTTAATGATATTTTATCTGGAGCAGAATTACCTCCATCTTGGAGAACGGCCTTCATATCATTAATTCCAAAGGATGACCAGGATCTGTCCCAACCTAGAAATTATAGGCCTATGTCTCTTTTAAATACAGATTATAAGATTTTTGCAAAGATACTGGCAAATAGATTAATGCAGGTTTTGAAACAAT